TTTGCTTGGTTATTTGTTTTCAACAAGTCTGCAAATAGATTTCCTTCATTTGAAACGGATTTGTTTACAGCTTAGTTACTAAGAAAACTGAAGAAAAAGAAAGATGCTTTTCCTCTACTAGTCAAAAATGAAAACATATTTAATTATCAGATTCCCCACAAATTTTCCATTTAAAAATTTCCATACTTTTTCAGACTCAAATTTGATGGAATTTTTTCCCGCACAGGTTTTATTATTTCTGATAAATGTGCACAACATTTTCATTTATCTACATGGTCCATGATAAGAAAACAGAATGCTGAATTCAGTTCCTGATGTCGTTGAACAGAAAAGGGCCATTTCACCAGTTTTGTGGCCCAACTTACACCAGCTCTGCAGATCAAAATCTATAATGCTTTGGCTTTTTAAATCTGGGCTGGTCATCGTACATGTAACACTGATTACTTAAAGCTAAATTTGTGACGTAGCTACACATTTGTTTTTATGTAGACATAAGAACAAAGAACATCTGTGGAAGCTATTTGTTTGGTGAAGCACACTTCAATCTGAGGGATCACAGGGCCAATTTCAAACACTGATAGGTGAAAAAGCAGTGAAATGAGTGGATATTTACTTGTGACCTGTGTCATTTAAATGAAAACAAAATGTTTAACCAGCGTTAAAACTTTAGTTCTGATGTTAATTTTTACATGAATTACACATTATTGTAAAAAAGCTCTTTTTAAACAGAAAGTGTTATTTTTTTAATGACGGGTAAATTCAGTTTGGAAACAGACATATTTCCAAACTGTTCCAGACCTCAAAAATGGTTTAATAAAACTCCATATCTTTCAAGAATGTCCAACATAAAGAGAAACTAATTGTGCAAGAGAATGCTAAAAATATCAGAGAAAATGTAATATTCCAACAACTATTAAAACGTGTCAACGTGGCAATTAGTTTTATCTTCATTAATCCCGTGTATATGACCAACTTCCCAAAAATCATTGGAGGAACACTGAATTCTTCCTCCAATGTTTTATTTAAACTTTTTTTTTTTTTTTTACAACATCCACAACGAACCTTCAGTGGCGCCAGGGCACCATTACTTAGGAGGAGCCGAGGTTGGGAGACTTTTAATCTTGGATGTGACGATAAATTTTGTAATTTATCGTCACGATAATTTATCGTGA